AGACTCAGAGTTCAGGGCGCTTTTCCCTCCACTCAGTTCGGGTTGAGATCTGTGCTCTGAGGTCCTAGAAGAACCAGATGAATGGAGGGAATTAATGAACACAAGAAACAACATCAGCTAGAAACCCAGCCTAGAAATCTGGTCGGTTTGCATCACTGAGAGCCATAGTAAGAAAGCGCTCATCAGAATTTTGATGAAAGAGATAACTTTAATATATTTTTATTGTAATGACCATATGTGGAATTTAAGTGGCTGCAGTATGCTAGGTATTTTTGTCTCTGATTGATATGAATTCAGTTTTATTATGTGCAAAAAGTAAGGCTCTTTAGAAAGTCTTAAAAACATAGTAAGATTCAGGTGGCCTATTTTTTTTGTGGGTATCCAGAGATTATTCTTAATAATGGTGATGATTAAGAAGTCAGAAAATGCTACCTAACTAGAAATATTTAACTTCACTAGCATTCATGTAATATATTGAAAACACATACATACATAAACACACGTATGCATGCATCTGTTTTGGTTGACCAGCTCAATTACATATTCAGCAAGTTATCAGCAAATATTGAACAAATATTGAATATTGAGTTATAAATCTACCAAAATACTTATTGGCTGAGTTCTTGACAATTTAGATGAAATAATTTAGTTTCAGAAGCCACAGTAATTATACATGGACTATACATCGTGCCGAGTATCTGGGCTGACTTAACTCACTGGCTATTTCAATACATGAGAGAAATACCATACCGTTGACACATAAATGGTTATTTTCTGATATTAAAATATCTTACCATAAGAGTTCTTTTGATCCAGTTCTAGATGAACATGACTTTCTCTCTGCCATTGAATGCCCCTTACTATTTCGATCTCCATGGAACTTAACATCATCCCATTTTTCCAGTTGTGTTTGAATGTCTACTAAGGAGATAGGAATGGGGCAAGGGGGACAAGGGGAGAATACAAGGTGCAGAGAGAAGAGAGACTGATTATCTTATACAAGTAAATTTTACTCAAAGGATGCTCTCACCCACCAACCAACTTTTTAAGGTCACATGAAAATTAATTAAACATGTGCAGGTAAATGAAAATGAGACCCATTAAGAGAAATTGGACTGCTTTTACAGTTCAACAATCAAGTTGTTTTACTTGAACTTCACGAGCTATATGTATTCTGAATTCTGTGTATGAGTCCACAGAATTGCATGGAAGTGAACACACAGAGTACCATCCTATCAGCCTCCTGCTAAGGAGGTGACTTTGAGGCACTTCTGGCATGTTTCTAGAAAGAAATTCTGTTTAAAGAGATGAACCTTGTTAAGGGGTGAGAAGAAACTGGAACATTTTTCACAGCTTTTGCATAGACTTCTTAAGTTTTTACCAAAGGAGGGAATTAATAATGGGAATAGAAAGACAGGCATGTACAAATTTAGAAAACATATCTGCACTTATATCTTACAGCTCAAGTTGTTCTGGTTTGGGATACTGCCAACTTGATGGAATGAGGACTATGTGGAAGGAAGCACTTGCTGTGTCCAAATCAGCAAAATCAGAGAGTTACATGATTGTGACTAAGTATTTGGAGGACCTGGTTGTCACACATTCTCATTAAGCTCAATGTAGGTTGGCAAGAGCTAGACTGCAAGACAGGAAGGCTCCATAGGAAGGGTCTCCTTCTTGGAGCCTCCTTCCATGTTGAAAATTGAAAAACAAATATTTGAACCATCACGCCACAGCAGAAGTTGAATTTTGTTTCTTTGCCTCACCATCTCAATCCATTTATGTAAAAAGCTGATTTTATATAATTATCTTCCATGTTTTTCTTCAATTCTTCAAGTGTTCTAGTTTTTCATATTGCACAATTAATTTTTATTTTTTAATTAAGCTATCATTGATATACACTCTTATGAAGGTTGCACATGAAAAACAATGTGGTTACTACATTCACCCATATTATCGAGTCCCCCCTACACCCCAATGCAGTCACTGTCCATCAGTGTAGTAAGATGCCACAGTCACTACTTGCCTTCTCTGTGCTATACTGTCTTCCCTGTGACCCCCCCAACACACCATGTGTACCAATCATAATACCCCTCAATCCCCTCCTCCCTCCCTCCCTCCCCACCCACCCCTTTGGTAACTGCTAGACCCTCTTGGAATCTGTGAGTCTGCTGCTGTTTTGTTCCTTCAGTTTTGCTCTGTTATACTCCACAAATGAGGGAAATCATTTGGTACTTGTCTTTCTCTGCCTGCCTTATTTCACTGAGCATAATACCCTCTAGTTCCATTCATCATATTGCATTATTTCTTTAAACAATTAACTCCAGGGACTATTAATTACACAGTTTGCTTAAGTGTCAAGGAACTTTATTCTTAAAAATATAGAGATTATATACTTTATTATAATCTCCTGCCACTCTGATTAGTGTATTCAAAACACTATTTGAAAGAGACTAGACTATGTTTTTCCCTTTTCCCATCTTGTAAAGTAAATGACCTAACATAAAAATTCTTCTTATTGTAAGCTTCCATTTTCTTTGCAATTCTGAAATATGGTTTTTAAACAAGGCTTGTAAATAGCTCCTCACCTGTTAAACCTAAGATAATATTGGCTTGGGAGAGAAGAAACCATCTGAGTGATAGCAGCACAGTAACAAGTTTTGATGAGCTGAAATTGTTCACTTGAATAGTTTTCAAGTTAATTTTAAGTTGTATTTTAATACATTTTCATCATTTTACCTAAGTAAAGAGATCACATATTTAACAGCAGTATGTTTCTAACAGTAAAAACATCTTTCTGTCTTTTATTATAAGTACACTAATTAGTCTAGTCTCTTGCTGCTCCACTTGAGTGACTTAGTATTTCAAGATAACTAAATCCCATGTTCATGAAATTTTCATAATTTAACCATGGTCTGTAATTAAAGATAGGAGTTTATGAATTTCCTTGGTTTAGGTAAATCTTGATAAGTAAATGTGCAGTGCTTTTTTTTTTTTTAAAGTAAGGGATAGATTCTTTACAAGTAATTTGGTAACTCTCTAAAAGGATTTTCTATGATTTATGTAGACAGAGAACTGTCACAGTGCAATTTAAATTGTGTTTTGGAGCACAGTATCAGGAATTTCTAACACGTTTTCTAAAGTACATTGTGTTTGCTTAAAGGTATACTGGTAAGTAGGTAGAAGGACAATGTGGTGGGATGAAGTCAGACAACCAGCAGGAGAGTAGCAGACACTGGAATAATAAGATAGATGCGTTGTGGGTCTCCACAGCAACAGAGCACCCCAGCTGATCCTCTGCCCTCCAGCTCCATGTAGAACAGCCCACCTATGCCAAGTCTCCCCTGTTGCAGAAACAAACAGTTCAATTGCTACATTAAATTGTTCCAAGGATTTCAGTTGATGAAAAAGTACCAATTACTTTACTTGAGTCTAAATCTCTAATGCACTTAACAGAAATGTTTCTCTAATAAGTGTTATCAATTTGCTTTTAAAAAAGATACATTAAGGATGAACACAGGAGGAAGAAAATATATTTTCATGCTATATTTACAATTCATTAAGCTTCCCAGGGTTATTTGTTATTGAAGTTAGTTGACTTGTTTTCCAGCTGAGTTCTGGGAGCAGTAAGCCCACAGTTCTCTAAGCAGGGTGAGGTGTATGTGTGTGTGTGGAGTGCTATTATTGGCCTAGAGAAGTTTCCAGAGGCCTTTTATCTCCTGTCAACATTTCCTCTCCATGTCTTCCTGCTGTCTGCCACTTAGTAGTTGTGGTACATAGACAATTTTCTAAATTTTTCTGTGCCTTACTTTCTCTATTCTATTAAATGGGGGTAATAGAATGAAGTTACTTCATTGAGCCACTTGTTAGAATCAAATGAGCTAATATAGATCAGAAGGCCTTAGTATAGCACTCAGTAATATTTGCTATTATCATAATTATCCCTTTACTTCATTTCAGACAATATATCTCCCCTCTTAGTTTTAATGTGTTATCTAGTAAACTCAAGAAAATTTCTCTTGCTAACTTCATCCCACTTATTTTCAACTATATTGTAGAATGCATGAATGTGAATAGCATTTTTGGGAGGTGGATTTTGAAACATTTAATCAAAAAAGAATCTAGCATTCTAAAAGTTAGGTTTACAAACAACACATTTCTTAGGCTATGTTTGTGACTGTAGATCAAGGCTGTATGTAAGATGTTTGAGCAAAGGCAAAGACTGAGACTGACTTAGGCCTTCTTGGCACAGTCTTAACCATCAGAAGTAGCTAGGCAGGCATAAGCCAGTGACTGCACTGGATTCGGGGGCCAAACAGTGGACAGACAGGCCTCATTCACACCCTACTTCCACCAGTGCTTAGCTGGGTGCCCCAGAAAAAGGATTTGAGTCCACTGAGACTCTTTAAAGGGAGGCTAATAATAATTCACAGGGTTAGCTGAGTATTAGATATAATATATGAAAAACAAATAATAAAGTCCCTAATACTTAGTGGGCACTCACAAACAGTAGCTCATAGTATTATCATGACTGCTAGTACTATACTTATTTACTGTTTAGCATGAAATTCATTTCAATGTGACAGTCAGAATCTTGATGTGTAAGTACCTTGTTCCACGGGACATAGATGTGAACGAAAGCTCAAGATGTAATTTCTTCTTCTTTGTGTTCTGTTCCATGAACACATGAACAGTGCTAATACTGGAGTAAAATGGATTTTGTATTGCAAAATAGTGGCACAGTAAATGGTGGAACAAAGAAAAAGTGCTAAGTACACAGTAAATTCATTAACACATTCTCTAGTCAAATATATATATCTTATCAGTTATTTGAGCATGGAGATGTACACTGGATGTGATAGCACAAGAATACAAAATACTGGAAAAATAAGTCAAAGTCTTTTGTGAAAAACTTACATAAAATATTTATGATGTAAGTTACCTATTAGAATGATAGGCTCACTGGAGCCTAGGACAGGCTCATTGGATGCCTTGGTTACCTGTGTTGGAGGCACTAATTCCAACTCTGAAGCAGACTCAGAGTTCAGGGCGCTTTTCCCTCCACTCAGTTCGGGTTGAGATCTGTGCTCTGAGGTCCTAGAAGAACCAGATGAATGGAGGGAATTAATGAACACAAGAAACAACATCAGCTAGAAACCCAGCCTAGAAATCTGGTCGGTTTGCATCACTGAGAGCCATAGTAAGAAAGCGCTCATCAGAATTTTGATGAAAGAGATAACTTTAATATATTTTTATTGTAATGACCATATGTGGAATTTAAGTGGCTGCAGTATGCTAGGTATTTTTGTCTCTGATTGATATGAATTCAGTTTTATTATGTGCAAAAAGTAAGGCTCTTTAGAAAGTCTTAAAAACATAGTAAGATTCAGGTGGCCTATTTTTTTTGTGGGTATCCAGAGATTATTCTTAATAATGGTGATGATTAAGAAGTCAGAAAATGCTACCTAACTAGAAATATTTAACTTCACTAGCATTCATGTAATATATTGAAAACACATACATACATAAACACACGTATGCATGCATCTGTTTTGGTTGACCAGCTCAATTACATATTCAGCAAGTTATCAGCAAATATTGAACAAATATTGAATATTGAGTTATAAATCTACCAAAATACTTATTGGCTGAGTTCTTGACAATTTAGATGAAATAATTTAGTTTCAGAAGCCACAGTAATTATACATGGACTATACATCGTGCCGAGTATCTGGGCTGACTTAACTCACTGGCTATTTCAATACATGAGAGAAATACCATACCGTTGACACATAAATGGTTATTTTCTGATATTAAAATATCTTACCATAAGAGTTCTTTTGATCCAGTTCTAGATGAACATGACTTTCTCTCTGCCATTGAATGCCCCTTACTATTTCGATCTCCATGGAACTTAACATCATCCCATTTTTCCAGTTGTGTTTGAATGTCTACTAAGGAGATAGGAATGGGGCAAGGGGGACAAGGGGAGAATACAAGGTGCAGAGAGAAGAGAGACTGATTATCTTATACAAGTAAATTTTACTCAAAGGATGCTCTCACCCACCAACCAACTTTTTAAGGTCACATGAAAATTAATTAAACATGTGCAGGTAAATGAAAATGAGACCCATTAAGAGAAATTGGACTGCTTTTACAGTTCAACAATCAAGTTGTTTTACTTGAACTTCACGAGCTATATGTATTCTGAATTCTGTGTATGAGTCCACAGAATTGCATGGAAGTGAACACACAGAGTACCATCCTATCAGCCTCCTGCTAAGGAGGTGACTTTGAGGCACTTCTGGCATGTTTCTAGAAAGAAATTCTGTTTAAAGAGATGAACCTTGTTAAGGGGTGAGAAGAAACTGGAACATTTTTCACAGCTTTTGCATAGACTTCTTAAGTTTTTACCAAAGGAGGGAATTAATAATGGGAATAGAAAGACAGGCAACAGAGAAAGCCAAGAGAATGCTTGAATGATTTTCTCCCTGTGGCTTAATTCTTATGGATAAAGAATTTGGCTGGGTTCTCATTAACAGGTGTGTGACTGTAAGTGAACCACTTAAATAACCTTGGAGTCCAGTTGTTTTATTTATGAAAAGATAGGTTTGCAGTCGATGACCTCCACAGTTCTTTGAACTGTTTTATAATTTCTTCATAGGATATTTTCTCAAAAGCAGGAAAATGATAGTTTCATTTACATTTATTGTGTTATGTTATAATGTATTTAATAATATATCCCTACACAAATGCATACATTTCATTTATTAGTTTTTACAACTGAATAAATATAGAGTACACTGATGGTGAAGAGGTATTAGAGATAAGTTATAAAATTTTCCTCCAAAGAGACAGGCCTCAAAGAAGGACAGGGCAGGGGAGAAGGGTTTCTGTTTCTGTAACTGGTTTGACCAATGTGTTGGTTCTCTCCCTTTTCTTTATGATCTATCCGTGGGCAGTCTCATCTATATCTGTGACTGCAATACCTGTTCATGGGCGTCTGACTTCTAGATCTTCATACTCTGCTCAGTTCTCCTTCCTGAATTCTAAATTTATGTATCTAACGGTCCATTGGACATCTCCACTGTCTTCCTCAAATACAACAGGTTCAAAACTGAATGTGACATTTTCCACCTTGGCTTCTTCCTCCCCTCCCTCCTCTCCCTCCCCACACTTATCATGGAGGGTGGCACATTCTGTGTCTTCCTTGCTGGCATACACCTATGCAGTCCGCAGTTTTGTTTTCATTAAAAAAAAATCTGTTTCTTTCTCTCACTATCCCCTCTGTCACTATCTTTGACGTTTGTACTGGTCATCCTGCTTCAACTCCTATCTCCACACATCAACCAGAAAAGAATTTTCCTGAAATAGAATCGGTTGATGGCACTCCTCTGAGTGAAACCCTTCAGCCCTTCGCCCCAAATTAAAGGGCATGGCATCCAAGAACTCCCAATATCTGACCCCTAGTGACTCTAAGGCCTATTTCTCACTACTCTCTCTTTCTTGAACACCATTGGCATACTTGTATTTATTTGAAAAGAAGATATTTCTGTGCTTGTCTAACTGTATGAATCCCTTTCTCTTCTGCATCAGGAATGCCCTGCCCCTTCCTTCCTATCTCTCTCTGATCCATATTTTTCATCTGGCAAATTCCTGTTCATCCCTGAAGACTCTGCTCACATAGTGTCTCCTGTAAGACACCTTCTACAAACCCCCTCACTGGGGCAGGGGCTCTATAGAGGTATTCATGTAGAAACTGACCTGGGCTTCCCTTTATTGCAGCATATAGCATATATTTTATTTTAATTATTTAATCATTTTTCTATTTCCCGACTAGACTTAAAACATTTTAAGGGGCAGAGAGCCTGTATTATCTTTTTATTGCTAGAACATAGTATAGAACACTGTAGGTATTTAAGAAATGTACTGAACAAATAAATTCATAACCATATAACATGTACATATCACAGTGCTAAGTGATTTCACATATATATCCCTTTCAGCCTTCACGATCTTATGGATAAGTTACTAATAGGCTCATTTGAGGAATATTTACCCCCATACACATGGGGGTTGTATAGACTCATATACACCAGTGAGCCACAGTCTGAGCACATACATGTTCCCTTCAGCTTTCCTAGGGGAAAGCCACCTTTTTCTCCTGAGAAAGGAGAGGTTAATTTGATTGGTCCCATGAGTGGAGGCTAAGCATTCCTTTCTCAGGAGAATGTACAGTGGATAAAAGTATGGACTTAGAAGTTAATCAGAGCTAGTAGGCTCAAATTCCAGGTCTTCCTCATACTAACTGAGATTTTGGGCATGTTATTTAAATTTGAAAACCTTGTTCCGCTCTTATTTTAGAGTTGCAATGAATTAACAGGCCAGTATATGTAGATCAATTGACACAGTCCATACATTGTAAGCTGTCAGTAAATGGTACCTGCAATTATTGCATCAGACATATCCTTATGCATGTTCCATTCTGTCTGGCTGGTCCTGGTCCTCGTGTTAGAGCTGTTTATTCTCTCTCTCTAGACTGACTCTTACCCCTTCTAGACTGAATGCTCCTAGAAAGCAGTAGTCATGTCTTATTTTTACTTATAACTCCATTGCTTTGTATTGTGTCTACCCTCTATCAAAAACTCAATACATGTGGGTTGAATAAATAAATGAATGAATCCACATCAGTTATGCAAAGTTTGGTTCTCCAACTTCCATTTAATCCAAGCACAAAAGAAGTGTATCCTGCACAGTTTCCCACATGGAATTAACTTTTTCTACACCTTTGTCCATGGTTTTGATGTCATTTGTGGAACTTCCTTTTTGCATCCAAGAAAGGATGAATCACAGAAGACATAAACTGTTGCCTTACCTAAATCTAAAGATGATGTCTCTGGGCCTCGGAGAGGCTGGGCTCTCTGCTCAGCATCTGCACTGATGAGGTCAGATCCATCTGCCTTTTTCTTGAGGGATGAGGTTTTCGATGAAGCCTCCAGCTTCTTGGCTTTGGCTTGGGTTTGAGAGGCGGGTTCACTCAGGTCAAGGAGATCTAAGCCTGTGGTCAGTACTATGAGATGGAAGAGGTTAAAATAAATTCACTCACTCCTCTGAAATAGTTTTTTAAAAATAGGTTTCAATTGAATGCAGAAGGATTTTTGTGTTTCTAGTGTAGGTCAGGAGCACCAAATTGTTAGCTCACCACTGATTTATTAAGACATTCATACTTAGAATAGGAAGTCTGCTGTGTGTTGTCCTTTATTTGGCACAGTACGAATCTCCAAAACAGGACTTAGACCAGCCTCACCAGTGATGAAACTTTGAATGAAAGTAAGATGATAAAATTAAATCGTGTTCAGGTCCTATTTACTTTATGCATACTTTGCTTATTTACAGAGAGGCTTAGAGTGCAGTTTTTCCAGTGAAGAGTCATAGATATGCTTGCAAAACAATTATGAGGAATATTTGGTAAAGTTTCTTTGTGTTTGAATTTCCCACTGTTAAAGTATACAGGGTGTAAGGGAATGCCATTAATCATCTTTTATTTAATTAAGCAGTTCAATCAGAAAACAGCTTGCTGTTTGGGCTCACAGTAGAGAGTTACTTTACAATCCATAGTTGATAAATAGGTACATGTTAATGCCTTTGCTGCTTAATATGCAAATTTAAATTTTAATGTGACAAACCATAAAATGGTGACACTTTTACTTCCTAGCAGGTTGATTACACTATATTAAATACTCTAATGAAGGCAGAAATAATAATTTGTTCAAATGCAAACCAGGCAAATGAGAATTAAAAAGGCAAGCTTTGGAATTTTTCGTTCTTTCTGTCAGTGCAAGTAAGCAGTGTTTGACTAGCTCATTGTGAGAAACGGAAAATTCCAATTAGAGAAGGTTCCTCCAGTCTGACCTCTCTACCAGCCCAGGTACCTGACAGGCTGGCTTCTGAACTGGCCTGGTGGCCTCCTGGCCTAGGATCTCTTCACCCAGCTGGCTTAGGGAAGCCCCCAAAGTGACGGAGAGCTCCCTGTGTTGGCCCTTCCGGGCACCACCTGTAACGATGACACCTGGACTCCTTCTCCTCTTTGATCTCCCTGCTTGTCGTCTTGGGAGGGAATGGATTTTTGTTGATGTCTCAACATTTTTCCAACTGCTTCCCCCTCGCATGCAAGGCAGGGGCAGGGCTCAAATGCACGGGCAGGGCTCAAATGCACGCACAGGGTTTCTTTAGCACTGCATTGTCCTCATGCGCTAACCATCTCTATGGGCTCCTTAGGATGGTGTGTCCAGCTTTACTCTCAATAATCTTGTTTTCTGATTTTAATTATAATTCACAGGGGTTGGAAGTTGATGGTGAAATGGAAAGACCTGGCTCTACCACTGCTTAGCTGAGGGACCTGGTGTAAACTCCCTGAGTTTGTTCCCTCAACTGAAAAATGCAGTATTAACATTTAACAGTTTGTCTTCAAGGTATGATACAAAGATTAAATTGTCTGATGTGTAAATCAAAGGTGTAAAGTGCCAGGCATATGATAAGTGCTCAGTAAAATTTCCATTCTTTGGTGGCCAGAGTGTGATGCTTCTCTTTCCTTTTCCCTTTTGTTGGCCTCCTTCTGTTTCCCCTGTTCCTCTCCATTTCAGGCAAGAACCTGGTCCACACACTGACAGGAAGAGGAAACATCACCAGGAATAACATGGACATTGAGACAAAGATAGTGGTTCTACAGAGGAGCTATGAAGTAAATTTATCATGAAATGGCCTGGCAGTATCAGCTGATCCCACTCAATTCTTCCCGAGGAGATGGGAGCCACTTGCCAAGGCTAAGATGCTCGGAGATTGGAATGTTCTACGGCGGCAAGCACTTGAAAGTGGGGGGGAAGAGGTGGCTTTCAGATCTAGGCTGTCTGACTTGATGTCTAAAATTTAAGCATGGCATGCAGCCAAAATAGGTTAGGATGACACATGTCACATTCTTTGAAGGCTTCAACAGAAATTTCCAGGCCACGTCACGTTGGAAGAGCTTCCAGGCCCACTGTGATAACAGAATGAGGGAAGTGGATTAACAATCTCTGGAATGCCATGTATGTCTTTGTACTAATTGTACCGACAATTAGGAATTAGTCACTTGCTCTTACATTTCTTTTAGAAGCAAATTATATAGGACTTGTTTACTTGCATATAGTAAGTACATTCGTTATGGAATGATTACCGGCGAGTATTAATTCTATATCTGCTTCTGGCCATTCAGAATAAATGAATTGCTAAAAGAGTGAATTGTGAATTCAAACTTGGCTCAGTAACGTTCTTTCCTCCTCCTCACTGTCCTCAGCATTTCCTGTGTTTGTTCTGAGCTTTCTGTTCCTTTGTTCTTTTCCTAGCAAATGTGAAATGAATACTTGGCACATACAAAAGGCCTTCTTTGTTACCCGGCTGATGAAGGGGGTGGGTTGGGAGTTGAATGGCAAACTTTGAAGCTGAGAAGGTCCCTGGGGAGCAAAATTTCAAAAGCACAGAAAGATGAGTTACTTTTTAGAAGAAGACAAATCACATTTTACACAGGTGTGTGTGTGTGTGTCTGTGTGTGTGTGTGTGTGTGTGTGTGTGCATGCACAGGAACTTTAGTTAAGACTGGGAAATAAAGGGTCTTACTATTCCACCTGGGCTTCAAAGATAGCATACATTGGCATGGAAGGAGGTGTCTCCTCTTCATTTTCTTCACCCAATTCTAAAGATGCTCTTAAGCACATAAATGTTTGGGTTCCAGAATCTGGAGGCTAAAATTATGATCCATCTCTCTTACAGTGATGTGAAATGAGTATGTGTAAGTGTGCATGAGTGCATGTGTGCGTGGGGGAGTGGGTGGGAGGGAGACTGAGAGAGAAGGACTTGAAGATGCTATGCTGCTGGCTTTGGAGATGGAGGAAGGGGCCACAAACTAAGGAATTCCAGGAACCCTCTAGAAACTGGAAAAGTCAAGGAAGTGAATTTGCCTTCAGAGCTTCTAGAAGGAATGCAGCCCTGTTGATACCTTGATTTTAGGACTACTGACTCCCAGAATTATAGATAATAAACTTGCATTGTTTTAAGCCACTGCTAAATTTGTTATTTGTCACCACAGCAACAGGAGACTAACACAGCTGGTAGGTCAATGTTCATACCAGGAATCCACACTGGCCCTGTGCGCTCGCTGCTCCTCTGCAGACTTTGGCTGGACCTGGAGGCAATGTGCTGACTCTATTCATGTGGCTTTATTATTTTTTTTTAGCTCCAAATTGTTAGGCAGATTGGGTAGTTTGAGGCCTAATTTAAATAGTTGGCAAGCTCAATAAACTTTTTTGGGGGTAACCTAATTCCATTGTGTTAAATTTCCTGAAGATAGAAGAAGTAATATGTTATGTATTTGTTTCCATCAGTGTGGGGAAAATGGAAGCTCCTATGGCCAGGATCCTCACCTGAACCTAAACTACTTGATGATGTAACTGGCCTGCTGCTAGGCTACTGCTTCCACACTGTAGGCAATGAGCTGTTATTGACTGAGTCACTATATGAAGAGCTCTGCCCAGTGCTCTAGGCGGAGGCAGAAACAAAGGAGGATTGCAGACCTGCAGACTGTTGAATGCAGATGTAATTCTAGTGCTCAATCTCTAGTCGTTGGAGAACAAGCCGGGTAATAACCCCTTTTACCCTAAGAATGTTCCATTGTCATTCCCCCGTCTCACTGAATCCACAGTGAACTTGCCCCGGGCTGAAACCCACTGAAGACAATCAGTCTCAAGGACACCTGATTGAAGATCACAACCTACTGAACTGGAAGATTCTCACAGAGCACAGAAGATGTTCGTGAATACTAGATTACTGGGGCCATGGGAGGTGAGGCTGCTTAAAACAGAATAAAATAGTGCCTTAACATGAAGTCTTGATTTGGTACTTTGATGGCAAGCAAAATACTATTAATGCTACTATAGTATAATAAGCCTCTGAATTGTAGTGAACTTCTCTACTGGAATAAGTCTATTGGAGTGGTCAGAGAGGACAGATCATGGGACAACCCTAACTGCTGCAGACACAGAATGCGCTGCAAGTTATTGATGGGATCTCTGTTCTATTTTGTAAGCTATTATGGCATTCTAGAAGACGTAGTATTCTTTAACATAGTGGCTACAAAGCAAAGTCCTTTAGGGGGGATTTTCCCAGTTAGCAAACAGATTAATTGGACTTAAATAATTCAACCAAGTTTTGCCTTTTTATTGTAATATGTAATTAAAGCTGCTTACCAAATTTCTACATTCTCTCCAGAGGCATGCCATTGGGTTCATCATGGCTACTTGGGTTTCATAAAAATGTGTTTTGTAAATATTACACTAATTTTTCAGTTAAGATCTTTAATTAGGTGGCTGTAAAGGTATTGTGAACTTTGTTAAGTGAAGCTCTTCCCTTATATATAGGGTTCTCTTATATTGGTCTACTGGTCCCATATCAAGGAGAGAGATTATTTTTTTAAACCATGAAAAATGTTTCTTCTATAGTAACTGTATATTTAATGGCTCAAGTTTATGGATAACATTCTTTTAGATTATGTCTGATAAATGCAAAGTAAGGACCCCCTGTCTTTGCTTGCTCTTTAGAAGAGTCTTTCCTATACTTTGACATATATTAGATTTTTGGGAGATGATGAACAAGTTATTATTGCAAATTTTATAATAATTACTTGTCCTGTAATATAATCACTATCTTAAAATATTTGTTTAGTTACTTTCTGAGCATTTGACATATGCATCTGTGTATAATATATGCTTATTTGCCATTTTAAAATCAAGATATTAACAATAATCTTGGCCTACCACCCATCTAGAGATACAGTTTGAGAGGGCCAACGAATTAATTGTCATCTAGATTATAGATAAATGAAAGATGATTTAGGACGTTAATGGCAAAAAAAAAAAAAAAAAAGGAAAACATCCGTGTTTGTTCAGCTTGAAATTATCATTAGTGGATGACAAAAAATTAATAATCCTGATGTAAAATAAGCATAAAATAAAAACATAATTGAAGTACTTAAGAAACAAATCAGAATTTCTATGATGCAGAAGATTGGTATGTTCTTTTTGGGTCAGTAGAGGAAAAAAACCCATCATTTGACTGACCTTTGGAAGAGATAAATATTTCCTATATTGTTTACTTCACATTAATTCATGTAAGAACTATATTCCTTAAACATTTAAGTAAATGTAAGATGGTTTTTCATTGGAAGAAAATGCCAAGTATAAATAAATGCCTTGCCATTGAATACAAGTTTCTTCAAATTTCTGTTTGACTGGTTTGGTACAAACTTGAAGCAGGTTTTCTCGAAGATTGTTTAATACCCATTCCTTAAGTGTAAATATATACATAATGTCTGGGATGTAACAGATACTTGATGTTCAGTGTCAGTCCTGATACTTCAGTGTAATTTCATGCTATTCTATAAAATGACAGTGTTCCATTTTAAATTACTAATTTTTTATAAAAAATTTGAACAGAAATAACTATGTCATTTTCCCAGAAACCTTACCTAATATAAAATTCTTAGACCAAATTAGGATTCTCTCTAATGTGTTTGCTTGTTAAAACTTTTCCTTTAATAGTGTGAATTATGTTGCATATTATAATGTATATTGTGGGTTTTGTAATAATTAAAAAAGGAGCTATGTTAGGGATTAAAAGAAGAATAGTGTTTCTGCCTTGACATATACGTTTAAGATTAAAAAATACACCACATATCAAATAAGAATCTTCCTTCAGGATAAACATTTGTATGACCCAGATGTACAAAATGCTGAAGCCAAGAAAAGGAAAATCCAGTCTCAAAATACCATTTTTTCCTGTCCCCTATTTTAGAGGGTGTTATGGGTTGAACTGAGTTTCCATCAAAAACTGGCATGTTGACATCTTAACTCCGAGTACCTCAGAATGTGACTTCACTTGGAAATAGGGTCATTGGAAATGTAACTAGTTGAGGCATACTGGAGTAGGGTGGGCCCTGGCTCCAATATGACTATTATCTTTATAAAAGGGGGAAATTTGGACACAGAGACAGACACGTACACCCAGAGACATGCACATAGGGAGAATGGTATGTGAAGACTGTGTTATACTTCCATGAACCAAGGAACTACCAGAAACTAGGGGAGAGGCGTGGAACAGCCCCTTTCCGTGCTCCTAAAGAGGGAGGATGGCCCTGCTGACACTTTGATTTTGGATTTCTAGCTTCTAAAATTGTGAGACAATACATCTGTGTTGTTTAAGCTACTCTGTGGTATTTTGTCATGGTGGCCCTAGGAAACTAATACAGAGGCAATACTGTAGGTATTGGGTGGCAAGAAATTACACATTCTTTTGACTTTTTTCTTCCAATATTTCACAGGTGTCCCTTTCATATGCTAGAAAAATCAAGACGAAAAGTAGCTTTTGAGTTGAATATTATGTTGCTTTCTCTGGTAGGCCCTTCCTTAGTAACTTAGTTTTAGCCTCAGTGAGAGTGAGAAAGTGCAGAGGGTACAGGAATGATCTGAGAGGTCTATGCTTTCCAGCCTTTTCCTAGAACAGTGAGAACTTGGCAGTAGATCTGATTCTCATGATTTTTCTGAAACTAGAGACACAAGGCTCCTCTGTTTGTCTGAGGATATGTCTCCACTTTTGGAGGGGTGAGCTCTAGTTTCACAGATAAGGAGGATGAATCTGACCTGATAGTGTCTGAACTTGTCTAATTTCCTGCCTACAATTTTCCAGGTACAATTTTATTTCCTTGATTACTCAAAGTGATAGATGAATTTAGAAAACAATTGATTTGGAGTGATATAAAAAAAGTCAGTGTCTTTGAAAATGGAAGTGTTGGGTCTATGGTTTTCCCCTGACACCTAACCGTAATGGTAATAACACCTGTTGGGTTTCACACAGTGTAGGCACTTAATCTGATTGTTTCATTTAATCTTTCCAAGTAACCTATTATATACAGATCTTATTCTTCTTAGATAGGTGAGGAAACAGACTTAGTTAAGCAACATGCCCAAGGACACAGAGCTGCTAAGTGGCACAGCTGGGGTTTGAAATCATAAAGTTTGACACCAGAGACTGGACTACTCATCCACATAAAATAACTCTACCGTATGTTACTCTTGTTGTAATTTTTAGCATTTAAAAAGATTGCAATTTCCTTGACCTGTAATTTTCTTCACTGTTTCATATGAAAAAGTCACATTTTCATAATGAAAATATGCCAGGCAACAGCTAGCCGAGGACACGACGGGATGAATTTAACAAGACACTATGTGAGGATCCTCTCTTTTGTTCATTAAATTCTTTCCTGCAATCCAACATAACCTTTGTCCTCCAATTCCGAGCACCAGTTTTTTATTCTTATTTGTACAACATGCCTTTGAATGTGAATGCCGGCTGAGTGAAATCAATGCAGAAAGGCTGTTTGAGAGAGGGTAGGTGAAAAGCAGCTTTTGGATCAAATCTTAATGTTTCCCCCTCAGGATGGGCCCCACCTTAGTGACTTAGTTTTGGCATCAGTGAGAACTTGAAAGTGAGGAGGGTGCTGGACAAGGTGTGACTCATACCAGTGACAACCTACATTCACTCATAATATGAATACTTATTAGTGCCTAGACATGCCTACATAGATGATAGTTTACTGTTCATTTAATTCCAGAAGAATGTTCAAATATAGTGTTGTAAGAGGGAGCAAGTATCATATTTACATGACAGAAAAATGAAATTTGCTCTGTAATATCCCATGTCTCTAGGACATTTTATTTGTCATTTCAGTCCACTTCAAGGGGTTGCCTACATTTTTAGGTTACTAGCTTTTGTCATATAAAATATTTCCAGCCAGAACTTGAAAAACCTTACTCTGAAATAGATGCTTTTGTCTTAAAGACTTCCTGTGATAATGATTTGAGATGCAAAGATATAAATATGAAAATATGCAAGGAAAAATTATTCCTTGCTAATAGTGGCATGCTAATGTTCAGCAAAACTGGTTGGGTAATACACACTGCAGTTTCTTATATAATGAAAAGTGATTTATTGGTTTATGATGAATAGTATTATGTTCTAAAGTTTTCATTTGGTAGCAAAAATTTATCTCCACTTAAATTCATTGTGGAAAGAAAATGTGCATTTTACTGTAGTGAAAATGACCTCTACTTGAGGATCAGTTAAAAGTGAAAGAATTACCGGCTGTGTTGGACGTAACTGGCCTTGCTATTGCCTCCGATTTGGTTTCACAGAGAAAGTCATCGATGGAGGGACTCAGGAGGGGCCTGCTTTCTTGCTGTTCATTCACCAGCTGAGAACAAATAAACACAGGTGTCAAAGCGCTTTGTTAAACTGCAGAAATCAGATGAATTAAAATGCAGCCTTGCAACAAAATGCGAATAGCAAGCCTACCAAAAAAAAAATCAATCAATCAATAATGGGGTAGGGGCAGGAAAGGAAAAAAATACCAAGGGATGGGAAATGAGCCTGTTAGCACTGTCAACATATTTTCGATGCAGCCAACTTCAGTTTTTAAAGCTTAAGCCTTTTTTTCCCTCCTCCTAGCACAGTTTTAGAAATATCCTCTAATTTCAATAGGTACAATATGACATCTATTGAGTCACAACTTCTAAGGGCCAATCACACTCCTCACTTGCACAAAAAAACTCCTACTGAGACCTGGAACAGTGGCTTCAGACTCTGAGGTGCCATGTTCTGGTGAGGACCAGTCAGTCAGTGCTCTGTGGTCAAGTGCACACACGGATCTGGGTGTGGGGAAATGCTCTCCTTTTCTTCCTCTCTTAAAAAGCTCAGGTCACCTGCAGGAACACATCCTTCCTTACATTTACTTGGAATGCTTTTGTAGTGCAAGCAATGCTTTTGTAGTGCATAACAAATACTATTTTGGGAGAGTAGAAAATCTTATTATATTAACTGTACAGGTATTCAGTAGACATGTTGGTGAGAATATATATGTAAAATATTTCTGTAATGTCAATTATATTTTTCCATTGGCTTGTTCTCTAATTTCAGAAATTTTTCAGTTTGATTTTTAGTAGGTGTCACTAATTATCAGTGACAGGCCACTATTTACTTTCAGTTATTCTGTATGTCTTTGAATCCAGACTTAAAGTTCTGTTTCTATGGTTAAGGGAAAATATAGACTTACATTAAGTGGTTAATCCCTAAATTAACTGTCTTGTTTTCTCAGGAGTTTTTATACTGGCCAAACTTAAAATAGGCATAGCCATCTAGTTTTCTACCTGGTACAAGAAAAAGATGTGCCTAAAAATCTCTAGATTTTTAAATATTTAATTTGCAAGGCTGTATTTTAAGAGACACATAAAATAACAAAACATTATTTACTTTTTCTTTACTTTGGAAACCATTAAAATTCCTTTGTAAAAATAAGGACTAATGACATAGTTCTAAACCACAGCTCTGTGAGTAGATGTGTGGAAGAGGCCTAAATTACCTATAGTATTAGAAGACCAGGGTGTTAAATTTCTGAAGATACTTTTAGTTGTAAACACTAAAAAATTGTAGACTAAATTTGATAAAAGACTTTGAGAAAGTAAGACCTTTATGCACATAAACCTTGAAATGGGAAAACAAAGGAAAAGGCACAATTAATTGAGAGGCCCGTCCTTTTAGGCAAGTCTGCTTTATCAAAATAGGATTTTTTTTTTTTGAGTCTTTTACTGTTGAAACTTCAGGCTTATTTTCTGAAGAAAGCATCTCTAGCATTTTCAGATTTTCTCAGCAGATGAAGAAAGGAATGCCAAGAGCAGCTCATTCAGAGCTACCGTAGGGAGACCAGGACTAAGGCAAGGCTACCCCCATCTTCTCCTAACCCTCGGCTTCATACGGTCTTGGTGTCTTCCCACCTTTTTGCTTCTGACCACACTTCACACCTGGACTGATGGGATTGCTATGTCTGCACAATTATGGTAACTGCACTGTGCCTATGGTTCTTGGGAAATGCTGGGGTGGAGTGAAGGATTGTGACAGGGTTCAGGGGTGAAGGAAATGAAGGTCTGATTTCAGATAGCATGGAAACATGATTTGGGAACTGAAAGTTTTTTGGTCTTGATTGAGATATGGAAGATGAAACAGGAGATATTATGAAGAAATCTTTTGTTATAAGCTCTGAAGTCACAGGCTATGTCTTATTCATATTTATATCCTTTGCAACTTCGAATAGAATGTTTTCATATAAAAGGGGCTCAATAAATGGCTCCCAAATGGGATGGTGACCTTGAAGAAACTTAAGATTTAAAAAATATCTATCTCAAACAGTATAATTTTGAATTGTATCTTCAGTCGGATGAATTAAGGAATCATTATTTTAGCCATACCAACTCCCATTTTATTTTTATTTGTATAGGTAAGAATAGCTTTTCACATGTCCCCTCCTCATTGTCAAAGAAGTTTATGGCTTTCTCATGGTTACTTAGAAATAAGTAAATCTTTTAGTCCATAAAGGAAAATTGCAAACTGAACTGAATCCCCCTAATAGTTCCCTTAAGCTTTACTTCTAAGTTATTTGCCATTTATTCTCTCCATATTTATTGGCAGGATACAGCTCGTTGACTTTCTCCTAGAATTACTTCCTTCAGTTTGAAAATACTTTATGAACTTACCTCATTTCATCCTTGGGGTAGAGTACACTGATATTATAAAACTAAAAAATGTGAGTCAAAAGTTTTCCACTTTTTTAAAATAACGGAGTTAGAGTGATTGCAATTTTGATACAATCAGATTGTCATAATGACCCACTCACTTCACTAGTTGCCAAGGACTTTGTCTCACTTTGCTTACATTTAAAATTTTCATTCCTTAACTCTTTTGTTCTCTTCCCAATATTTAAATCAGTTCACAGGCTCTTCTAACCATGTCAGATTCTCACTTCTTTTTCAGGAAAGCTGTCTGGGAACTGGCCCATTGTCTGGGACCCTTCCTCAGCACCAGGCAGGGAGTGCCTTCTTACAGCATCTCCATGTTCCCAGGCTTTACCCAGTTTCATAATCTTAGTTTTACTTGTTTTTCTCCCACTAGACTATGACTTCTTTGAGGGTGGAGACTTATCCATTTAATTTTGGTATCTCATAGTAGCAGTTTAGCAATTTAATAAAAAAGTTGGCTGATTTTATACAGTCTAACTGAATGGTGAATTGTACAAAAGAATGATTGTGTGCCATCCTCAATTTCATACTGGGTTTGATCAAATCACAGACAAGTCAGTAGTTCTCAAAATGTCTACCAGTTCCTGGAGGTTTTAAACCACAAATCTTAAGTCCACTTCCCCCCAGGGTCACATCATTTAAATGTTTGGAAATCCAGAGTTACCTAAAGGAATGTTTCCCAAAGCAAGGCTTCTACCAAGACATCAAGAATGCAGAATGAATGCCTAATGAGAAAAACTGAAATAAAGGCAGAGGACTGCCCCACGCCATCATTGGAAGGACATGGACCAATGCAAATGGGAGGCCGGCAACACTTCAAGACATAACACTTCTACCTCATTCAGAGAGATGAAATCAGGATTCAAACTGGGAGATTTTGAGGGACAACCCTTACATGGGCAATGGAAATGGAAACAAAAGTTAACAGCCAAAGAAGACAGTGAGAACTTCCATGAAGGGGCTCCTAGTCTCTTAGAATTCAAAAGACTCTTGACCTTTACACTTTCCTTAGATTGTGAATGAAACATTCAGTCTAATGTCTTCAATTTACTTACGACTTAGTCAGACTGGTCAGTTGCTGTGGTCACCACCAAAGTTGTTTCTTGTTTTACAGCACTACTGTGCTTTTTTTGTGTTGAGCAAATGCAGACAATATCATCCAGCTTTAGTGATTATTGTCTGCTTTAAAACTTTGTCTAAAAATGCATTTGCCTTAATTCAAGTTGAATTTCTCTAATTTCAATGTTAAAAAATTAAATTATTATATGATCTAAGCTACAAGGGAATATTTAACCAAGATGAGAGGAGAGTATTTTGCTTTTCAATACTGCCTATTTCTTAAGCTCCAGTGTATGCTCATATAACTTGTTTTTGTGACTTAAATCTAAGTTTATTTATCTATAAGCAATATATTGTTTAGTTGTTTTATTTAAAAATGTAGAGCTAAAAGTTTGTGATAACTTGTATCACTAAGAATTACTTCCAAATCAAAAATTTGTTTTTGATGATAAAGTCTGTAGAGGACAATAATCTATTATTCCATATTTTTTTATACTTCAAATTGATGATCTCAAATTATTTTTTTAGTTTAAAATAAAATATTCCATTTTTATTTTTAAACATTTTAATAACTAAAGAATAATTTTAAAAATTAAAATTTTGAAGCTAATAAGTTAAAGTTGGTATATATCTTATATTTGTAATGTCAATGTAAAAAACATGTACTTTTACCTCACCTAAATAATAGAAAATTAATATTATTTTGGTTCTATATAAATAAAAATATAAATATGTTTTTAATACATGTATCTTTATGCACTTTGAAAATTCCTTATTTGTGACACTGTTGATTCAAAGTATGTGTTATCTGTTAAGTAGCCTTCTGTTCATAATTTTGTAATAGTTATTTGTTTATGGCTTTATTAGTCCTATCTAAGTTTAGAAATGTACAATGCCCATCAAAATAGTGTCCATATCAAAAGTAAATTAACTGACTTAATCCTTTGAAAAAAATAAGACAACTAAATCACTACGATGTAACCCTTAAGTATTCAGACTTTGAGAGCTTTGTCTGGTTAACTATGACACCTTACTGAATTAAATTCTTATGAGTTGATAAGAGTTCTAATGGTTCTGTCTTGCCTCTCCCCCAGTGCCTATATATATATTTATATATATATATATATATAATATAAATATAAATATGGGTCCCAGAGAATCCTGTAAAGGATAACCATGTGATAACTTTCAACTCCTTGACTTTATCTAAATGTCAACCAACTAACTACAAAGATTATCCTGACAGAACAGATAGACTTATAAAATGTGAATATAATCATGAGGAAATGGACAGATATTTTGGTTTATAGCTTGGATAGTCCCAACACTAAGGCAGGCCAGAGAACATAATGAAAGCAGTTGTTTAGAGTTAGCAGTAGAAATCCAAACAAGGCTATATTTTTTAGCCTTGAGAATGTTCTTCCAATCAAGGACATTATCATGTCATCTTTATCAGACACAAAAATTAAATCAATGTCGAGGTATGAGGGGTGGGGACAGATAGAAAAACAGTCTGAGTTTGTAGGAAAAAAAAAGTTTCTCTTAACAAGAAACTGGGACATATAGTTTTAAGACACTGTGCTCTATAGTAAAAAATGAATGGGCTACTTGCTATAAAATGTATCAAAATATGTAGTTAAAATGAAAATATCTGAAGATTCTTTATGAGAGAAAAATATTTGCTAAAGTCATTTCTTTCTCAGAAGGAATAATAAAATTTTTTCTATGATACAATCAATCTTTCAGCACATAGTTTCCCCTTCTCTCCTCAAATTGGATTTATTTATACTATGACAGTCTAGAGCAGTGCTGTTCAAGAGAAATATAAAAGTCTGGTAATTTTAAATTTTCTAGTAGCCATTTCAAACAAAGTGAATAGCAACAGGTGAAAATAATTTTAATAACACATTTTATTTAGCCCAATATATCCAAAATATTAAAAATTTTAACATGTACTCAATATTAAAATTATTAATGTGATCATCTGCATTATTTTTCTTTGTACTAAATCATCAAAATCTGGTGTGTATTTTATACTTATAGCACATCTCAATTTGGGGCAGCCACAAAGTACTGAGGGGCTGCCAATGGCCAGCAGCTACCTACCATATTGGACAGCACAGATCCAGAAAGTCTTTTTCCTCAAAGACTGGATGACTGATATATTTTTTTCCTTTGAGCCTTTCATCAATTCACACTTATTTACATACTGTTTGACTTAAAGTATTAGTCCAGGACAGCATGAACTTGAGCTTCTATGAAGTGCTTGACATTGTTTGTTAATATAGAATTAGTAAGTGAATTAAATGAAAAGAGCAATTCTTAGGGGCCTAGCAGTTTCTGAGTTTGGGTCACCTGGCTAAGTCTTCTGTTTTGTTCAATTTGTTCAATGTACTATAAATGACTTCACTGGAGTATGTTTGGCTAACTCCCTCTAAAAGTGATCATAATAATCACTAATAAAAAATGCTTCAATATAACCTATTCTACACTTACAATCTGTGGAATGAACAACTACTAAACAAGTTGAGGACTCAGTGTTTCAAGAACTTATTCTGTATTTTATTGATTATGATTAGTCCCAAAGACACTATCGAGAGAGCAGCAATTAGCTTCAGCCATATCTGGAATCTGTGAATGAGCAGCTGCCATGGACACACTGGTGATGAAGATGAGTCAATGTTTTCAGCAATATGTAGCACTGTGTCATAAGGGGCTTTACAGGAGACACTGGGGCAAACATGTTTCAAGACACTGATACATTCACACAGGATAACAAGTAAGAATGTGGTATGGTACATGGACTAGATGTTGTGGTTGCCATGAGAAGTACTCACTTTTTCAGATCATTCTGCTGCTTTTTGGCTTGTGCACGCCACTGGTGCATAGCAGGGAAGAAGCCACTTGTGTACAGTGGAAAAAGTGTATCAACTAATAAAGCTGCATTTGACTGAGAAATAATTGTATCACAGCTGTCACTGAATTAATTCCATAAAATTATCAACAGGTGCATTACATTTTATGAATCAGAACTCTGTCTGCTGATTCATAAACTAGCCAGTATGCAAGAAGAATATGATGCATCAAAGTAAGTATTATACAATCTTCATGCAGTAAAATTGTAACTAGTACCTCAGAAATAGTTAATGAAACATTAGGGATTGAAGAAGGAACTTGCTACACACAAATATTCTGAATATGAGAAAATGGTAATAATCATAATTTCTTTTTTTAAAAATCTTGCATTGAATTTTGCATTGAATTTTAAATTCAAGCTTAGGTTATAATGGTGATTTTGAACCTTTTAAAAGGATTATTGGTAAGCACATGGCAATGCATGGTTCTTGGGAAAAAGAATTTGGGGTACTAGAGCTTGTCCTAAATTGTGATGTCCTGAAATATGTTATAGCAGAACTATGCAACTTGCAAATTTGAATAGGTCTTATCTACTGATGTATGTGGATGTATATGCTCATTAGCTGAGAACTCCAAATAGTTCTCAACTTCCACAGCATTCACTTGAGGAACTGTGAACTGAATATTGTGAATATGGCTTCTACAAAGGGCAGATCAGTGTACAACTATATACATTTTACTATGTAAATTAAGCAAAGAATTGAGACCTTGGTAAATATCAAGCAAATTTCTTTCCAACTACTATAGTGTTGTTATTGGGAAGAGGAATCTTTTCTTTATGGATAAAAAACTCACAACATGAAATTGATCCCAAAGTCCTGGGACACTTTAATAACTTTTTTATTATTCAATTTTCATGTTTTATGTTGTTATAATTTTAATTACTTACAACATAGTGTTTGGAATAAAATAAAACCACATATGTTGGCAGCAGCTGGGGATGTCATCTGATGATATTCTAAAATAAGTTACTATAATTTAGATTTTGATATAAATGCCTTTCATGAGGACTGCAAATGGACATTTTTCTAATTCTAGACATGTTCATATAATTGGAACTGAATCACTGCATTTACTATTGCATTATGGAAAAAAAAGAAATGTTTAAGATCACAATCTAATCTAAATTATAAGATAAATGCAAGTAAAAATATTTTTCATTTAAGAATGTAAAACTGATAGTTCCAGAGTGGTGATGAATATATTATACATATTTATGTGGATCTTACAGGGTGTTTCAAAAGTCCCTGAGGACATATGGGATTCAGTCTCAGTGTGTCTTTGCATACAAATGCAAAGGTTTTTTCTATACTTGTTATAATAAATGCTGAAAATGGCCCACATGTACTTATAATAGAGAAGATATTTTTGTTTTCAAGGTCACTAAATAAAAGACAGGTCACAAATGCCATTTTCTGCATGGGGACTCAGGGACTTCTGGCTCATTCCTGTAAATTAGTTATCCACATAAATATGTATAGACATATATGTAGTATGCAGAGTCATAACATAAATATAGTTAACATTTAAGAAAATTTAGATATTCTACTGGTAAACTGACATATGTATACATTATAACTTGAATTTATTCAAGGCATTTGATTTTTTTTTTTGGTTGTTGTTCAAATGTACCATTAGCTGAATTGTTATTTGTTTCCCAAAGTTGTTAACAAGACTCCTTTATAAAGAAGCAACATGTTTTCCTTGCACATACATTTTTTTTAAACTGCAGTCGAGTAATGAAAATTGATAGCCATAAATAAGTAACTAAATGATGGAATTTTCTTTTTTAGCAATTTTGTTTTTCATTTTATATTGTATAATTGTTTCATTGAAATGGTGTTTTTAAAAAAAATTGGTTCATTTTTTTTTTTTTTTTTACTAGTTAAAAATCACAATGTCTGATATATTAACATATGTCAGCTTGCTACCGGAACCCTATGGGTCTGCCCACCTGTGATGTCATAGTAAGGAGGGGCTTTTCTTCAGCAGACTCCTCCCTCGGTATCTCCTTCATCACCATGGCAACAGCCTTATCTGCCGCCCTAGAGCCTTTTCCCTATAACAGTGAAATCAACAATGACTTGTGTCAGGAGAAATCTTTAAAGTAGTATTTATTACAAGATATTCTAATGTTTAAAGAGCAATCCAACATAAATGAAGAGGTAGGCTGCTGCAAGTGAATCTTGAGGCTTTTGGCTGAGGAGAAAACACACAAAATCTGAAAAAAGATTACTTGTGAACTTTTAGTTAGCTACTTTTTAACGTTTACAGCTGACATACTGTATTTAATTTTAACATAGTATTTTATATGTAGAATATATTTTAAGGCAATTTAAATGACAATTTTTATAGTATAAATTTTAAAACACTATAGTTTGCCTGTCATGTTCATTTATATCCTATATAATCCTTAAATGTTTTGAATGCCAGTGAGGAGTCTGGGGAAGGGATCAGGATTAGGGGCTATCACAGAGGGCTTTTGCTGGGTGGTTCCTAGAGTCTGTCATTTTTGAGTGGGTTGGGCATAGAAAGAGTAAAGGTGTCATAAAGCCTCTAAACTTCTTCAGTAGCATTATAGGAATTCACCCAGCTTTGTGGAGATAGTATGAACTTGGTGAAAAAAATTAGCAACTCTCACTATTTTTGAGATTCAAAAATCTTAACAGAATTTTGAAAGTGTCTTTTAGTCAGAGAATGCCATAAATCCAGATGTAAATAAAATATGATTAGCAATTGAGGCACACACACATGTGTGTGTGTATATGTGTATATATACATATATATACACACATATATCTCCCTACATGCTTTTGTCTCATACAAACAGAATTTTGGACTGAAAGGTTTTCTGTCTTTTTAGTATACTGGATTATTAGGTTTTTAGAGTAGATATGGCATAATGGAAAAAACAAAACAAAACATCATCTTCTCAACCCAATTAGAAACATCTCATACTATGTAAAAATTAAATAATCTTTAAACATTCTAAAGGAAAAAAGCTTCCATTTTCTCAGGCCTCTGGGCAGAGCCTACCTGGAGAAAATAATTTTATACTAAGAGCACATACGAATATCTGCGTTATAAATCTACTTAAAATACAAATGTGGCATATAGAGATATCACAGGCAAAGAAACAAAAATGGATGTGTAGGGGTCTGTTGTCTGTTGTCTGAAAGGGAACTAAGACCTTGGGTCAATATTAACCCTAGAAGTTAATAAATAAATCTTGATAGTTTCTATGCAATAAAAAAGGATAGAATTATATAATTATCTTGGGCTCCTACAGGGCTTTAAATATTTAGAAGGAAGGTTTAGTTTATTCCAGGAATCAGAAACATTGTTCAGTTTTCAGGCACTGCCTTTGTAAAATGTAGCAAATGAAAGCTTTTATTTATGGAAACAAAGAAGAACTTTCTATAGAGTTACTGGATTTTAAGATGTCTGAATCTCTTTTCAGTGCTGAAAATTTGTTTCCTTGCTTTGTTTTGACCTAAGAGCTATCATTACTAGAATGGTAATGTGTTATTCCCACGATGGAGTACCTACTACTAGAGATTTTATTTGGCAGATATAACAGCAATAATTTTCATATAGGTTCTGAAAAGTATATATGGCCACAGTCCTTAGAATAACTGACTTTTGGAAGAATAAGGGAAACAATGATTCACTGATAACAAACTGGGGTGCATTAGGATCCCAGGTTTTTTCTTTAATGAAGCAATATGAACTTCCTAAAATAAAAATGTGCACAATTCTGAATTCTGGGAAAAGATATGTTATAGCACTATTAAACTATTTAACATCTTTTCAAAACATACATATTACTTGGATGAAACATTACATACCATAAGCTTAGTATACCTTTATAAGCTACACTCATTTACAGACTAAATATAGTTTAACAAATATTTTTGTAGCTTGTTTTTTCAAAAGAGCAAAATCATTTGTGAAGAATTCTTTCCATGCTCCAAGTTCTAATAATATAGCAATAAACAAAGTGGCATGCTTATATTTAAATTCCTAATATATTTAAAAGAACAAATCTAATGTTACAAGGTATAATTAAAAAAAATAATTCAGACTCTTTTCTTGGGCTAAGAAGAAAATGTCAATTGATAAGCATCTCAAAAATTTCAAGTAAGCACTTCAATAAATCATTTATTTGAAATGCTACCAATCCATAAACTACAAATAGATATTTTTCACATGTGCAACTATAACAGCTAGAATTAGCAACAGACATGCCATTTCACTAAAATAAAAACAAAATAAAACAAAAATTAGTCCTTTCATGCTGAACTCTAGAACAAAGCAGTGGTCAGCTAGAAAGGATATATAATAAACACATGCGGTGCTTTTTATTTCTTGCAGAAAAACCCACCAAAGCCAGGGTCAGGTCACTTTTTTGAAGGCAGTGCCACTTTTTCTTCAAGGTTACACCTACTACCTGAAAAGAGTCATGACACCCATGTTAGTGCCTGCTAACAATTTGTTTTCTCTATAGCCTTTTAGCTTTTGAGTTATTACCCCGTGGGCCACACTGTTTCACAAGTGTGGTACAGTCCAAGAACAGAACGGGAAGGTCTGCCACAATGACATCTCCATGCTTCCAGGTATAGTGTCTTAAAACCACTGCCAAGTCAAGTGAACACAATCATGTATCAAAGCAAGACTCCCCCAGATTGTACTGCCGTCTCCACCTGGTAGCTTAAAATCGAGCTGTGTTATTTATGGCTTGTCCATTTATCTTGTGGGATAATGCTTCTAGAATTCCAGACCTGGCTGATACATGACTTGGCAATTCATGAAGCTATACAGCTTTGCTTATCAGCAGCTTTGTAGGACTGACAGGAATACAATGGTACAGGGTTTTGTTTTGTTTTTTTCCTTTTTTGAAGTCAGTGTCTTAAAACATTATAAGAATTGTATACACATGATTAACCAAACTTCAAGCTCAATTTTCTAAATATAACCCCATGAAAAGGTCAATGTTAATCTATTATTTGAAACAACACAGGGACAGCAAAAATGAAATACACACTCAAGCATATAAGTGGATTTAGATTACATTAAGCCTCTATACTTTCATTTCATTCTTAGCAACAACAGAAAAGAATGGGGAAAACTTTATAAGTTGATTATCATATTGTGATGCCTTCCAGCAATTATTTCAGCCTACTTATTTGCAGGTAATACTTCAAAATTATCTTTTCCTGCTCCTTTGTTGAATTTCGTGAGGTATTTCTGATTGTTTGGAAAACAGTATCAGCATAAGAGGAAAATTCTATTTTTCTTGGTGATTTGCTGTACAATATTCTTTGATATTTCTCTTTTGTTTCTTTTATCATTCTGTTTCCTCACCAATGAAATGCAAAATGATAGCTTTTCTAATAAATAACATTTCTTGAGAATACTCTTTCTATTAACTTGTAAGACTGGACATAAATGAATGAAACACAGGGAGTATAGCAAATGACATGAACATTTATTAAGAAAATTTGGGTCCACTGCTCTTTTTTTAAATACAGAATAATATAAATAAGAAACAGATTACACAGTATTGGAGGTCACAGGACTTTCTCAGGCTGGGCACCAGGCTGTGAAGCGACCAGATGTCTTCAGATGAGGAGGTATTGGCTCCAGGCCTATCTCAGAGAAGGGAACTAAATTATTTGGAGAAGCTACTATGTGCTGAGCACTCTGCTAGGTGCTTTATGTATTTTTACTTATTTGATGGCATGAGAGCTCTGTTTGGTACAAATTAGCTTTGCTAGGTAGTTTGGGACATTGGCCAAAGCCTCAAAACTAGTGTGTCTAGGCCAGGAGAGACTCCAGACCCTCCTCCCAGCCAGGGTGCTTCCTTTTCTTCCACACTGTTACTTGTTCTTCCCACTGGCTGAGGCTGGGGGCTCTCCCAAGTCACTCCCGCTGACTGTGTACACTGTTACCACACATGCACGCTGTTTATGCCACTCAAGTTCTGGGCAGCAGCCACTGTTCAGCACAAGCACACAGTCTGGATCTAAGCAAACACTTTTTGAGAAATACTTTGCTCAGTCTGCAATGGTCAGTAAGAATCAGTCACCCATAATTTCACTCATGAGCATTTCTAATAAAATGTTTTTGTTCTATCTTCATGGAAAACTAACCTAAGCATTTCATGTGTACACACTATTTTTTTTTACTGTAGATCTTATTAGTTGTATAAGCCTTAGCATCTCTCTAAGTCGTATTAAGTGCTAACTCAATGCTATCGAATGCCATATTTACTAAGATTTTCCTGAAACCTATTTTGGGTGCATGAGATACTTAAAAGTATCCAGTTCCAAGGTTTCAAGATTATAGCATATTTATAAACAGTTTTCTAGCTGTAGATTTTGTTACCATTACTATCCTGTTTATAATCTAAAAACTATTTTTATTATCCCTAATCTACCAAGAGTCTCTTTATCAAAGATAAAAAAGAAGCAATGGAGATATGTTAAATTAGGAGAAAAGTAAAAGATTATAATACTAACACCTCTGCTAACTCCAAATTATCTAATATATGAATTTAAAAAATCTTTTTGTTCTGATTTTAAAAATTAATACATGCTGTTGTCAAAAATTGGGAAAAAACAGAAATAAGAAATTAAAAATAACAACCCTGACATATTCAAGCATTTTTTCTAAAATTTTATATTTACAATACTGGAGACAAAACAGTTTTTTTAGGATGAAGTTTTAAGGATAGGCAAATTACCATCAACTTTACATATATGAATTCATTGAATACATTTCTTCATATATACATACATGTAAGCAAACACCTACTACCAACGTCATTTTAGCAACATTACTTGAAATGAAATGATACTTACTTTTGCATATGCTAAAAAATTATATATCTCATAAATTCTGTACCATGGACTTAAATGCATCTGCAGGAAACTGGCCAATTTCAGATGGCTGTTCTTGTCTCTAAGGTGCCGAGCCAGGATAACCTTTTACCTGGGAAAGTAAATGTCATGGCAAGTGTCATGCTCTCTTTAAACTCCCAACTCCCAGCACGGGACAATGTCAGAGTGATGTTTCCAAGTATCCTCCAAGAGCTGGTGGTCCCTGACTACCATATCCTGTCTTTTTCTATTTCGTGTGTTCCTGTAGATTTATTTCAGTGTACAGGAGGGTTCAGACTAAGCTGGTTCTGTCACAGTTAACACTTAATTCAACCTCTCCCACCCCAACCCCCAACAGGATGTTCTGTAAATTTTGAAAGTGGTACAAAAAGAACTAAATCTGGGCATACTGGTCAATCCTTGTTTCTAAACATCCAGAAGGAAGCACAGATCTAGATGTAAACAGCTGGGAAGTGTGGACAGAATTCTCTTTTCTTAACTAGAGATTCATATGTGTAATCCACAAATCGTAATTAATTCACCAGTGGTTCAGTGATCTGTCTGTCGCTGGAAATGTGATTTCTGATTCCTTACTAAGGGAGAGCCACGTTGCAGTGAAGACACGATGCCTCTCTATTTAAAATAGTGACACAGGCGTTTTAAAGAGAGGGCTTCAATGGACCCTCCATAAATTTCTCCCTGCCTTACTTTTTCCCCTCTCCAGCACTGTTAGTCCAGCTGACAGGTGCAGTCTTCACAAGCCACTACCTTCTCTAAGATGTCTTCTGAGAACAATGGGGAATGACTCCAATTACCAAATTACCTCCGTGCTCTCAGCTTGTAGTGTGCGCTGGTTGGCACCTTTTGTTGTGCCCTTCCAGACTGTATATGGTTGGGGAAGCAGGAAGGAGAAACTCGCGGGTAACAGTCTCTGTGGTCTTGAACTCTAAGCCTTCTCCGAAGAAAGTGGCCGGCGTTCCGAGCCCACCGTCTGTGCACTCGCTCTCCTCATCTGGCGGGACCGGGGCAGGCGGACATGTGGTGTCCTGGGCTCTAGCCCTTCTGCCTTCACGGGCCCTTCCTCCGTAAAAAAACATTAAAAATTGTATTTTTGACTGCACTGGTAGAAAGACAAATATAATCTGCTTGGATTTATTAATACATACTCATCATAATAGTTATTTTGGGGGTCCTGATTTTAGGAGAGATTTAAATTAAAACACTTTTAAAGGCCCATAAAATATCTTGGGCTCCATGAACTGTGTCCACAGGGCCTGGTGTGTAAGCTGATCCTAGGTTGGTGTCCTCCCAACAGCCAGTGCGGATGCCCTGGGGCTGCTCTGTCACTCCCCGAGGTCTTTTGCGGCTGCAGGGCACTTCCAGATGGGGTAGAGGGGGGGCTGTTCCCACCCTAACTGCTGGAGAAGGCTCCTGGCTACGGCTACTGCTGTTTTTGTTAGGATTCAGGAAGTCTCTCCTAACAGTACTCACAACTATGACTGGGTGCCAGTTGCTAACTTTCATCTTGTAGGGCCTGAAATGTGCTCAGGAAAGCTGGGACATTTGGGCCAGAGGCAGAAAACGATGGATGTGAAATCATCTGACTCTTAAATTAAATGTAATCTCTCCACCAAGCAACAGGCCTACTCCCTTCCTTCTCTCTTGCCCCAGGGTGTGTTCCTGACCATCCAGGAGTACTTCTGAGAAGCTGAGTCTACCTGGGTCTTTACTTTCATTAAAAAAAAAAAAAAAATCAGGCCTCAGTGACCAGAGCCACCAGTTGGTCCCAAAGCACTCCTCCCCATTCCTTCCAGGTACTCAGTGGGCCACTTGAGAAACAGAACTGCCTGAACCCAATATTCCTGTTGTGCATGCAGGTTAGGCTCCTCCGAGGGACCTTGTTATAATCCTTTATTTTGTAAAATGTTCTTTGTATCTCCTCAGTGAAACTGCTTTGTATGAGCAAAGATGGTGCTTATTTCTTTAGAAGCCCTTTGCATTATTTGGTATAGTAATAGACACTCAAGTTTACTCAGTCAATACAAGCACTGGATACCTTTTCAAATTTATTTAACATACTTAAATCACATCATAGGGACATTTTAATAGAAGGTGATTCTGAATTAAGTAGATGGTCTTGATTAGACATTTAGAGAGACAAAATAGTTTTAAGCATCTAAATAAAGATTCATTGAAATTAATAAAATGTTGCTAAGTAAAATGCTTACAATTTGCTCTGAAGGATAAAGACTTGCTTTTAATTAATGAGATCCTTTTGTCCACAATTTACCATTTGTTTGTTTTTTTGAGAAGTTAGACATTCCCCCATCTCATTCTCACTGAGTCCCTGAGGCTATTTGCCCTGTTTGCTCAGCAAGCTTTCTTGACCAATGGTCAAAGCGACAACAGCCAGATTCTCAGTCATCCACGACCAGTTCTGAATTAGTAAAGCTTTACTGTCAGGTTTGCTTTGGTTAATGTGGTTCTAAATTATACTTGGAAACTATTTTATCTTAAAATGGATCATCTCTATTAGCTCAACTTTTGCTATCTAGGGTGGTCTGGCTTA